ATCTCTAATTACGTTACCAATTACAACTCCTAATTACGTTATTAATTACAGCTCTAATTACGTTACCAATTACAAATCTAATTACGTTACCAATTACAACTCTAATTACGTTACCAATTACAACTCCAATTACATTATCAATTACAAATCTAATTACGTTACCAATTACATCTCTAATTACGTTAACAATTACAAATCTAATTACGTTACCAATTACAGCTCTAGTTACGTTATTAATTACAGCTCTAATTACGTTACCAATTACAACTCCAATTACATTATCAATTACAAATTTAATTACGTTACCAATTACAGCTCTAATTACGTTATTAAATACAGCTCTAATTCCGTTACCAATTACAACTCTAATTACATTATCAATTACAAATCTAACTTTCCTAGGTTATATCAAAATATCATAATACATATTATTAATCATATTAACACGAGAGATTTTCGTTAGGTTTGTTTGTATGTCCGCAGATATGCCGCTGTGCCACTGGGGGGCTTTGCTTTAGGAATTTCTATATTAGATCGAGAAGAAAATCCTTCAAGACTGTTATATAGTATTAAACGTCATTGAAATAAATTTGATACAGGTAGTTATAGAGACATTTTTGAACTCATGAAATCTATTACAATAAAATAAAATTAACATCTGCATTTCAACTCCTCATCTAATTACTAAATGTGGAATTGTCCCCCGGTGGAACAGCGGTAAGTTTCAGGGCTTACAATGCTAAAATCCGGGGTTTGATTTCCCGCGGTGAACACAACAGATAGCCCAGTGTAGCTTTACTCTAAAAACAAACAAACAAACAAATGAGGAACTTAGTGTCTTGTAGGAATAACCATTACCTCATATAACGAACGTCAATGTGATTCATCAATGATTTTTTACAAGGATAAACCGTTGAACAATAATTATTCTTGGAAGTCTATTTCAAACAGAGTGGGGAGACAGTTTCTATATTTGAGGTATGCATGAGGGTATTTTATCCTTAAAAAAGTGCGGGGGATATGTCCCCCTTGAAAATTACGCCCACGAACACGAACAACATTTAATAAAACTAGTACATTTTAAACGTGAAACGTTGGTAAGATCACTGCACTGTAATACTTCCAAGCAACCCCCTCCCCCAACCACGTTGACCACTATAAAACACTAGCTAATATATAATATAAGTGATATTTGAATACACAGTTGGTTGTATAGGATGTCGACATGTCTAAATATATAGATATAAAAATATTATATGTATTCAGACACGCAGAAAACGCACAAACACAAAATGTGTCTCGACAGACAAGTTAATGGTTAGTGTAGGCATTCTGCTATGATTTTTCTCCATCATCTGATAATAGAAAAGATGCAGAAAGATTTGATTTATGATGTGAGTTATGCCAGGACTTAATGAATAAGCTAGTGTTCAACAGATGGCGAGAAATAAACAAATGAAAACTAACCAATGAGAGTTATGATAACAACCCTCACGTTGAGAACAGTGGCTTCGGTTCTCATCAATCATCCTTTTATCGTGATGTTCCTAAACTAACCCCGTAGTTTTAACAACAACAAAAATCAATAAAATTTTTATTGACAGACTCAGAGGAGTTTCAGTTTATATGTGTGTAACATGCATGTTTAGTTTTAGCGTCACATGCAGGTGCAAAGGATTTTTCTCTCATTTTTGATTGTCATTTTGTGGTTTTTATTAAGGCTCTCTTCCACTGGTCGTTAATTAATCTTCTTTCTGCTCCTGGTCAGCAGTAATTTTTGTGGTCTTTATTATGTTTCTATTTGTCGATTTTTGTTACTTAAATGTTAGTTGAAGGTCACTTTTTATAGTCCATACTATGATTTTCCAAATTATTACTAGTCGATCAGTTAATCACTTTGTTTTTCCAGGTTACTAAATATTGACTGACAAAGTTAATCACTTTGTTGCTCCAGGTTACTGATGACTTTATTGTGATCACACTGGTCGTTATTATTTTACTAGTTAATCACTTTACGCTCCTAAATTGGTGATTTCTTTGTAATCCCTCTACTGTGATTTTATTAGTTTTACTTATTTTGTAAATAAATCGGGAACCTTGTTGCTCTCAATACCCTAAAGGGTCGAAGGACTCTCTTTACAAGTCATAAGCCCCAAATGATACATTTGAATGAAAATGAACTACATATAAATGTTACTAAAGTTTCAATAACTCTCTCTTCTGCCTATTGTAAAATGTACAGTATACAAAAAATAAATAATCAAAGTTTACGTTTATGTTTTTTTAGCAATACTGTAACTGGAGTTAACCTGCTGTCATCACCTATAGATATATATACCATTTGTATTGTTGTGATAAGTTTCTTTGGGGGGATGCAGGGACGGGGAGTCTCCGGTTTGCCCCCACAGGTTGCCCACCACTACACTAGGTCAACGACGCTGACTGCCCATTTTGTGTTTGGTGGTGCTGTTTTGAAGTCGTTGCTACTTGATTAGCTGTCCACCTTATTACACAGCACCACCTTTATTTTCTTGCTCTACGGCCCAGAAGTTCCCAACCTGTGGTCCCCGGACCCCTGGGGGTCCGCGAAGATAATACCACCTCATTAAACAAGCAAGTTTTTGAATTCCGCTGTTCTTTTAATTGCACACTCAGTTATATATGTCTTTCATTTGATAGTGAAAAATGGAAAAACAAGTTAATTATTAGTAAGAAAAACAGTTTGTTGGGTAGATGGAATCTTCCAAAAAACATGGGGATCCTTGGTGGTGAAAAGGTTGGGAACCGCTGCTCTACGCTATTAATTTATCAACTTTTTTTGTTTCAGCTCAGCAGTTTGTATTGTCACAGCTGTGCAGTGGTTCTCCAGTTTGTTAGCACTTGACCAGTTAACCATCTTGTTTCTCCTGATCAGTAGCTTCTACATGAATTCATTTGGTGGTTTTCTTGTTTCATATGTATTAATATTTAATTGATGTACTTCTGCAGGGTCCCCGAAAGTGTTCTGTTTCAAGAGTAAATAAAACCAAAATTACGAGTGACAAATATTTTTATTTCTTGCTTTTGAAGTTCATATGTCATACTGAGTTGTAGCCTACAGAATGCATAATTTTTCTCGTGATTCATGGCATGCGCATCGTTTAGTGACGTCACGACAGTACAAATTGTAAGCGTTAAGCGTCCCTTATGTGACGTAAGACAACACACTATTGTATAGTGGTGCAAGTCATTAAAACAGGTGACCCCCTCTTTCGGGGAAAAATCACATTACAACTCAGAAAATTCTAAGTTAAAGAAAAATCTCGCTGCTAGATCTATCTGAAGCACACTTTGATGATAAAAGAATATTCCTTTTTATTAGGTGGCGCACTGATCTAGCTACGAGTAAATATACATTGAAAGTTTACTTCTCTTTTGGTTAAGAAATGAGATTTGTTAGCTAGTATATATATTATTTTACAGTAGGTGAGTTATTCAGGAAAAGAGTCTTGGTTAAGTCTCAGGCTAAACGAACAACGATTTTTAAATTCGAGACATAGTTGTTGTTGTGAATGGATTTTAATTGAAACTCAACTTTCCGCCATAGCTTGATGTACTAACCAGACAGGGTCCCAAGAATGCTCCCGTTTCTCTTTCTCTCTTCTTGGAACGGCATGCCAGTTGAACTGGAGGTTCCAGTCAAATCCTCCGACATTTAGCCCACTTGAGTCTCTGAAGTGATATTCAAAGGTGTTGTCGTCTATGACATCAATCACCGGACACACAACTGTGGTGCTGTTACGGGCTATTCTGTCCAGAAGTGGCTCAAGCCAGCCTGAAATGAGCACAGCCTAGTTTAAATTTTACAAAATACATAGTTGTTTAAGACAGAATTCGTTTCACATCGTATGGAATCAAATACCCATATTCATTATAATCTTTTCTTTTCCCCTTGTTACAAATATTTTCGTTATTCCAAAATTCGCTCTAAGTTTTTAACTTTCATTGATACATTTGTTTTCTTCTTTTACTTATTATGTATATTCAAATGGTTATATTTGAGCTTATGCTAACATAATAATATTTGCAGTAAAGCATCTTTCTTTTGTTTGTTTTTATTTTCTTCTTAACGAGTAATAAATTGCTCGATATCAGAAATATTTGATCTGATCACTCGCAAGTGTCCATTAGGCCTTACGAAATCTTGATTTTAAAGTCATATTATGTGACCTGGGCTTTACGAATATTATTAATCGTAAAACGTGATGTGTTAGTCTCTTGCTTTTACTAGTTGTCTATCATATCAAGCATTTTGGGCCTTACCATTATCCTTAAGCCTAAAACGTGGTGTATCAGTTTCACCTAATTTAACTACTGCCTATCACGTAAACTTCCTTAGGCCTTACTTATTAAAAATACTTTACTGTAAAGCCTTGATACATTGATAAATTAGTCTTAATGTTTCTCTTTCGGAGGTCAGCACAAAGCGCAATGATGAAGATAAATAAACTGATTATATATTACTTACAAATACACAATCCATATATATTGTTGGATATACAAGACTATTTAATTTAAGAGTTATTATTTAGTTCATTTAGTGATCTGATATTTAATGATTATTTAGTTTTCATAAAAAGAGTGTTAAAAGTTAATTATATTAAAAGTAATAGTTGTGACAAATTATGTTACGTAACTCGGTAAGAATCGTAGGTTGTGTGTGTAGTTCAATTGTTGTAGTATTGTTGACGTCATTTTTCTCGAAACCTCTAAGTTTCTCTCGCTATGTGAGTATTGTTACATCATAGCGTGAAGATAGCTGGCGTGTGAGTGATTAGCCTTAACAGGTGATATCTTAAAGTGAGTTTCACAGTTTAACAGAGATAAGAGAAATAATTTATCTTGTCAAAGGGTGTTCTAAAGTAATTGAACCTGCCTGTGTGGACTTTAACGAAAAGGAGACAATTATTTAAGGTTCTGGATATAACTGTGATAATCCACGGGGTAATGTAAGTGAATTATTCACTGATACTATTGTGATAAGTGTAGAGAAAAATAATTCGTCTTGGATTCTAATGTAATTGAATCAGCCTGTGTGGACTTTTAACAAGAAAAGAGAATTATTTAGAGTTGTAGATAAAACTATAATTTCCTATAGTGTAAAGAGCTTTTGTACATATGTTTGACTTGTTTTGAATATATATATATATTATTTTAAAACAAGTGGATTGCGTGCTGTCCATTTATTGTCCAAATTTATCGCCAACAAATCACAGACACCTACTGTAGGAGAATCCCAGCCCAGGCAATATTTAAAACCCTGACATACATGTCTCACAACACAATGTTACAGCACACTTAGAAAAACATGTTGTTAAAAATCGCACATGTATTAAATAAAGCAAATATATATATATATACATTACAGAATAATTTATATTATATATGAACATAGCCTGTTACTTGTTAGATTGTTTTCATAAAGACAGTCGGAATTTGTCAAAGGTAACCTTACAAATAATTATAAACAAATTGTCATTAATCAGTACAGGCCAATATGTAAGATATAGCAAGATACAATTTGTGATAATTGTAATAGTACACATGTTACCCTATTTAGTTTACAGACTATACAGTCAACAGTAATTATTTGTAAAATTCTCACTTATTATTTGTTATAAGATTTATTAAGTTTATATGTATAGAATATACGATTCTTTAAACTTATATATATATATAAAACAGGTTTACCAAGATTTTAATATTATAAAGAGACAAAGAATCACCAAACCATAATTAAAAACGATCTAGTCTAGGGTTTCCCAAACTTTCTAAGCATAAGAACCCCCACAAAAATATTCCACAACCTGACTGAGGCCCTCCCCAACCAATGAATCTGTAGCTACTGAGTACTTTACTTTCACTGCAGACAACATATTTTAAAATGAATCACACATTAGTTTTGAATATAATAGTATTGCTTATTTGTTTTAGTTGCTATGCCCCCCCCCCTCCAAAACTTTTCTGTAGTCCCCAGTGTTGGGCCCCTGATCTAGTCTTTATTTGTTAATTAGGCATGTCCTCTGTGAAAGAGGAAGTGAATATTGCGTTATTAGGTTGTTATATTGCATGCAGCAACAGTTTAACAGCTAGCTTTGTTGTGGTGTTGTTGAAACTATTGTAAGTAAGGTATGCATGCAAGTGTTGTCAATCAGACTGCCATCAGTCACGCTTGTACACTTTGACAAATGACAATCAAGGCCCGTGCAGCGAAATGTTTAAAAACTACAACAGCAGGATTTGGCAGTACATTTGGAATTTAGTTTTCAAAAACGTTGACCCCCTCCCCCTTGGTAACATATTTTTAAAAACTGACACTCCCCTGAATTCCCCGAACCTCCCTAGAAGTAATAAACGACCGCTCCCTAAGCGTAAAACGTGGTGTATTCCTCTTGTTCGTTCTTGCTATTAACTAACAGTTGAACTTTTCTAGAAAACGTAGCGAAAATAAACGACGAAAACCAAATATATCGAATAGAATTACAACAAAGAATAGTTATTTTTGAGATTATTTTATGAAATTCTATTCTAAATGTCATGGTTAATAAATCCACCTACCTTCTGTACATTCACAATGAGAATCCAGGTACGTTAACACAGGTGCAGTAGCAACTGACGATCCTAATAACCGAGCACGAATAAGCCCTTCTCTTCGACGCGCCCTCACAAGGCGGACTTTAGAGAGGTGAGAGATATAATCTTCAAGCCGTTGTTGAAGATGTGCTGAGAAAAAGACAAAGTGATTTAGCAACTGAAAAGTAATATGTTGAAACACACGAACACTAAATATGCACATCTCGAAAGTCTTATCCAATGTTGCAGACCCTCCCCACTACATGATTCACAGTTTTACATTTTATTTTCCTTCTAAAATAGGTTATTGTTTAACACGATATAAGAGGTCTGTTTGTTGAATTTCGTGCAAAGCTAATCTTGAAGTGATAGCTTAAAGGAAAATTGTCGGTTCTTGGGATACTCTTGTCTTTTCAAATCGAAAAGTGTGATCTGAACGTCACTCCTATAACGCACCCATGGCTTCAAAGTCTGGAGTGCGAGCCACACATCATCAGATCCATAGTTCGTCATGCTAACCCGCGTTTGGCCCTAAACGAGGTCGTTGAAAAGTATTTTTCGAAACGAAAACAAACGATCAAACCACAAAAGAAAACTGCTGTAGAATTGAGGATTTAGTGCACTGATAATTAAAATGTTGTGTCTTTTATGTAAGATATTCTTCCTTGATCTTAAAACACTGATGTTTATATCTAGTTGTTGGTGAATTAAATATTTATATGTTGTAAATTTTGCCACTAGGGATGATCACATATCTTATACAGAGAGAGTAACAGTAGGCCTATTCGATGACGAGGAACCCACTTTGAGACTAATAATGGCTGGAGATGGCTTGAATGG